CTAGACTTACCCTGATACCCAAATCCAATAAAGACATTACAAGGAGAGAAAACAACAGGTAAATATCCCTTAGGAATGTAGTTGTAAAAACCCTCAGCTGTGCATTGCCAAGTTGAATCCAGCAACATACAAAAAGGATTGTATACCACGGCCAAGTGGGATCCCAGGAGGGCAAGGTAGGCTTAACTTACAAAAATCAATTAATGTAATATACTATATTAACAGAATAAAGGACAAGATAATGTTATCATATCAATGGATGCAATAAAAGCACTTGACAAAATCCAACACCATTTCATGACAAAAGAAAAAAATTCAACAAACTGGGAAGAGAAGGCAACTTCCTCAATCTGATAAAGGGCATCTATAGAAAACCCACAGCTAACATCATACTTAACAGTGAATATGGAATGATTTTCCCCTAAGATCAGAAATAAGACAAGGATGTCTAAACTTGGCATTTGTAGTTAATATTATACTGGAAATTTTAGCCAAGGCAATTAGGCAAGAAAAAGAAAGAAAAGGGCATCCAGATTGGAAAGGAAGAAGTAAAACTATCTCTCTTCAGAGATGACATAATCTTGTATCTAGAAAATCCTAAGAAAATCACTAAAAATTATTAGAACCAATAAACAATTTCAGCAAGGTTGCAGGATAGATGATCAATATATAAAAGCACACAAAAATCACTAGCAGTGACTATTCCAAAAATGAAATCAAAGAAACAATTTTCTTTATAACAGAATCAAAAAAGAATAAAATACTTAGGAATAAATTTTTTTAAATGCAAGACTTGTACAAAAACTACAAAATACTGTTAAAAGAAATTAAAGAGTGCCTAAATAAACAGAAAGACATTCTGTGTTGATGGATCAGAAGACTTAATAATGTTAAGACAATTACACTCAGATTGATCAACATTATTCAATTTGATCCCTATTAAAATCCCAGTAATTTAAAAGAAAAAAACAGAAATTCTAAATCCTAAACTTAAATGGAAATGCAAGAGAGCCACACTAGTCCAAACAATCTTGAAAAAGAACAAATTTCATGGACTCACACTTCTTGATTTCATAAATTAATACAAAGCTACAGTAATCAAGACTGTTACCAACGTACAAATAGATGTGTAGCTCAATGGGATAGAATTAAGGGCCAGAAATAAACTCTTACATTTATGGTCAATTGATTTTCAACAGGGGGGCAGGGAAATTCAGTCAGAGAAGAATGCTCTTTTCAACAAATGATGCCAAAAACTGGATATGCACATGTGAAAGGATGAGGTTGGACCCGTTCTTGTACCGCACACAGAAATTAACCTAAAGTGGATCGTGGACTTAATGGAATAGCCAAACTATGAAACTCTTGGAAGAATGCATAGGAGAGTAAATTTTTGTGATCTTAGTTTGACAGTGGTTTTTTTTAGATACAATATCAAAGCACAAGTAACTAAAACAAAAAACAGTTGGACTTAAAAAATTTAAAAGCTTTGTACTTCAGAGGACACCATTAAAAAATTGAAAAGACAATGCTCAGCATGGAATAAAATATTTACAAATCTAGTATCTGATAAGGAGCTTGTATCCAGAATATATAAAAAAACACAACTGAACAATAAAACACGACTGAATGATAAAAAGATGACCCAATTTTTGAAAAATGGGCAAAGAATTTGAGTAGACATTTTTCTAAAGAAGACACACTGACAGCCAATAAGCTCATGAAAAGCTGTTAAAATCATTTCGGAAATATAAATTCAGACCACAACGAGCCCCTGCTTCCTACCAACTATGGCAGCCGTACAGCTGACCTTTGAAACACACAGGCTTGAACTGCACTTATATGAGGATTATTTTCAAAAAATATACAGTTGTCCTCCATATTCACGGGCTTTATAAGCATGGTTATGGAGGGCCGACTGTATTCACTGTACCACACCACTTTATATAAGGGACTTGGGCAACCACAGATTTTGGTATATGTGGGGGTTTGTGGAGCCAACCCCCTGCGGATACTGAGCAATGACTAGTTAAAAGCAGACAATAAAGGTGATGAGGATAGGGAGAAATAAGAACCCTCATACACTGTGAGTGGGAATGTAAAATGGTGCAGCTGTTTTCAAAAACTGGCAATTTCTCAGAAAGTTAAATATAGAGTTATCATGTAACCCAGAAATTTAATTTGTAGGTATATATTCAAGAGAATTGAAAACATGTCCATGTGAAAACTTGTACAGTGATGTTCAAAGCAGCATTATTCTCAATTGTCAGAGGAGATGAGCCCAAATATCCATCAAGTGATGAATGAATACATACAACGTGGGGTAGCCATACAATGAAATATTATCCAGCCATGAAAAGGAACGAAGTTTTGACATGTGCTACAACGTGGATGAACCTTGAACACATGCTAAGTGAAAGAAGTCAGCCACAAAAGACCACATGATTTCATTTATAGGAAATGTCCAGAATAGGCAAATCTTTAGAGACAGGAAGTAAACTGGTGGTGACTTGGGCTGAGGAGGTGATGGGATGGAATAGGGAGTGATTGCTAATAGATACAGCGTTATTTTTGGGGGAGACAAACTTTTTCTAAAATTAGATTGTGGTGATAGTTGCACAGCTGTGTGAAAATATTAACAAATTTTAATTGTATACTTTAAATGGGCAAATTGTATGGTATGTGAATTATATCTCAGCAAAGCTGTTAAAAATTTAGGAGAAAACAGAAAGTCCTGGTTGGCAGTAATGGGAGCTAAATTCTTATTTTTCTTATCAGGGAATAAATAGATACTGAAAACTGATAAATTCAGAAATCGTGATATAAAGTATTAGTAACAAATAGAGAAGTAACTATCAGAAGGAATAAATCCAGAAATGGGCAAAAGCACAGTGTCTGGGCAGGGGGACCGGGTATGGGAAGGGATGGCGCTTGGAACTGCTGCTTTTCATTTTAAATTAGTTATTATTGGTATTTAAAAAAATGCTATTTGAACTTTTTAAGAGATTGCAAAAACATACATTAAACTAGTTAATAAGATAATTCTCTTCCTTATACAGATCCTATTCTTTACAGCCACACACCAGGCATATGGTGCACATTCCTCTCACTGCATACAGAATAACAGACTGCTTGTGGTGGTGTATTACGTGGTCTGGATTCTTACCGATAAGGATCTGGCTCGATAAAAACTCATTGAGTCTTTTTTTTCACTTTATGATAAACAGATGAAGTAATTTTTTAAAAGGATTTTAAAAAATTGAAATAATTGATTAACAATGTTGTGTTAGTTTCTGATGTACAGCATAGTGATTCAGTTACACACGTACATATTCTTTTTCATTATAGGCTATTACAAGATATTGAATAGAGTTCCCTATGCTGTACAGTAGGACCTTGTTTTTTTATCTGTGTTATATAAAGTAGTGTGTATCTGCTAATCCCAAATTCCTCATTTGTCTTTCCCTTACTACTTTCCCTTTTGGTAACCATAAGTTTGTTTTCTATGTATGGGATTCTGTTTCTGTTTTGTAAATTTCATTTGTCTCATTTTTCTTCAGATTCCACATAGAAGTGATATCATATGGTATTTGTCTTTCTCTGTCTGACCTACTTAACTTAGTATGGTAATCTTGGTATGATAATCTCTAGGTCCATCCGTATTGCTGCAAATGGCATTCTTTCATTCTTTTTTATGGCTGAGTAGTGTTCCATTGCATATATCTATACCACATCTTCTTTATTAAGTCATCTGTGGATGGACATTTAGGTTGCTCCCGTGTCTTGGCCACTGTAAATAGTACTGCTATAAACATTGGGGTGCATGTGTCTTTTTGAATTAGAGTTTTCCCATTGAGTCTTTATTTAACTTTGTAACATGCTATAGTTTTGCTAGTTTTACAGTTTTGCTTAGTCATTCATCTGCTCATTCCTTCATTTAACATTTACTTACAGAGTGCCTACAACATGGACAGCACAGTGCCTGGAACTGGGGGCACAGTGGTGGAAAGGACATCTATTCCCAAGGAGCTCTCACACTCACGTGAAGACACCACAGTCACTAGACAATTACAGTGTCATACACAGATAGAAGGATGCTCTGGGAGCACATGGGAGGGAAACCTAGTACCCTGGAAGTCAAGGAGGGGTTCCTGAAGGAGGTGACATGGAAATTCACGTCTGAAGGATGAGTAGAAGGTAGTCTGGTGAAGGCGATGCCAGAGGACAAACAGAGTGCTTGGGAGAATCTAATGGCTTCCAAAGAGAGAGAGAAAGGAGGAGCAGGGAAATGTAGGCAGAATAACGAGCTCCCAAGGATGTCCGTGTATGAATTCCCAGAACCTGTGCATATATGTGAGTGCACACAGCAAAATGAGCCCTACAAGGTGCGGTTAAATTAAAGACCCCGTGCTGGGGAGATTATCCTGGGTTACATGAATGGGCCTGATATAATCATGGGGTCCTTATGGGAAAAAGAGGGAGACAGTAAGGCCCTTTGTGACCTCTGACCTCCAGAACTGTGAAACAATCATGAGGGCTGTTTGAAGCCTCTGAGTTTGAGACAGTTTGCTCCAGCAGCGACAGGAAACTAATAACGTCGAGGAAGCTGCAGAAGCAGGGAGGGGCTGGAGGGCGAAGCTCCCGTAAAGCAGGCTGAGGAGTCTGGACTTTATCATGAAGGCAAGAGGAGCCTGTGAGAGATCGGACTTTTACTTCAGAACCACCGCTCCAGCTATGGTAGGGGAAAGGTGGGTGAGTGCGTGGTGGGACGAGGTCTCCTCATGCACCCGCTGCTGTGGATTCCACCTTACAGCCCAGAGGAGACCTCCCTCTGGCCACGATCCCCTGGTGCTGGGTCAGCAATGACTCTGATTTCTGTATGGTTAGCAAATATCGAGCATCGCACAATGAGCCTTGAATCAGGGAAAGAGAAACCGCCAGACGCAGGTGACAGTGCATGGGGCTGGTGCAGGCTTGGCTCCGGGATGAGGTTTTCTCACCTTGATTTTCCACATCCTTCAGTGGGTCCACCCCCGGAGACAGGATGAAAAACATGGGAGTGGCTGGTCCCGATTCTTCGAAAGAGGTTGCAAAGTCTAGTGCTCTTCCCACCACGTATTTGCTTCCTAACTTCTCCTCAATAAAATCTCTGCCAGAAAAAAAAAGGCACATGTCTGTACATCAGTCACAGAATAAGAACATTTGAGAAACAGAGGTTCCTGTCACCGAAGGATGTACTCAAGGTCACGGGCTTGGTAGCCAGCCTCAGCACGAGGACCAACACCACGTACCACTCACTGATGAAGTGAACACCTAAGACCTGTGTTTAGTTGTGCACCTGCTCCCCCAGATCAGGGCTCCTTCTGCATCCCTCCATCCAGGCCACCTCCGACTCCTCCGTGAAGCCTGGCTATCCTGTTACATCACCACCCTCCCTCAGAAGACTGCAAGGAGCAATGCTTCCGAAAGCTTGCAGGCAGCTAAGAACCACTCACTTCGTCGCCCAGTGACCCTCTGTCCCCACCCACGATTTAAGGTCCCCAGGCACCTCCCCCCTCACGCTCTCTCCTGCTCTGTGCTTCCTTTCACTTCACGCCACTTACCAATGCTCCTTTTCCGTGTCCATTTCACGCTACGCAGAACCTTCCAGCTGCAACCACTTACTGACCTTGTGGCCCGCCTCTTGGCCGTCACTCTCCTCCAAGGACACTTTTTCCCTGTAGCTGTCTCAGCTGGGCTCATCCTCCTACACCTGCCATGTCTCAGGACTGGGAGGTGGATCACGGTCCTGCTCACAGGTGACAATGACTTCTAAATCTTTACGTCCCCGCTCCTGTGGCTCCACTGAGGCTTGTGTGCCCTGGCTGTGTCCCCACAACACCTGCACATCAGTGTCATCTATGACTCCTTTGGTCACCGTACTCATTCACTGATCACGTGGACTCTTGGCTCAGGGACTGTCACTCCATCAGCCTGAGTGACACCAGCATCACGTGGACAATCCAGATTCTTAACAATCTTCATTTCATCCCCACATCAACCACCTGATTCCTTGGCCAAACCCTCAACCTTGTCTTTACTTGGAAACCTTTTCTATGTCTGAAACCATAAATGGAAACACCCCACCAAAACCTTCTCTCCTTATGGTTCTTTTCAGTCATCTACCCTTACTTCACTTATTCTTTGCCTTTATTGATGCCACAAATGCAGGATTTTCAGTATCTTGGCCTCCCTGTTTTTTTTCAAACAATCCCCTTTTTCTTGTCACTACAAGTCTTATTCAATCCAGCATATACTCGATGGCCTATAACTTCTTTTTTAAAAAGAACTTTCTTGAGATACAATTGACATACCATAAAATTCACTCATTTTAATATACTATTCAATAGTTTTTAATAAGTTCACGGAATTGTATGATCTTCATCATAATCCAGTTTTAGAACATTTAAATCCTGCCAATAAGACTTCTCATGCCTATTTAGGTAATTCCTGTTCCTATCCTCCAGCCCCAGACTAATCACTGTCTCTCCAGACTGCCTGGCCTATGACTTCGAATCATTCTCTTGCCAATACCTCAGACCTCCCTAACTCTTATTCCAACACACCAACTTGGAACGACCCGTGCTCTGGGTCAGCTTAACTCTGAATCTACCCCAGGGCTGTTGGATGTGCTGCAGAAGACCATCCAATGGTGTGGACTGTGCCATACAAACACAGGGTCTTACCAGGTGGGCCCTCAGTGCCACTGGGAACCCTTTGAGTTGCCCTGGTCAGCCTTCTTCCATTTTTCACAGGTCCTATTTCATGCCTTCTGCACTCTCCTCAAATCTTCAACCCTGCCACCTCCCCTGTCACACAAACGCAACGATAGTCTTGCTTCCTATTTCTCAGAGCAAACAGAAGTCATCAGACAAAATCCTCAACTACAGCCACACCCATCTCTCTCTCTCTCTTCTTTGTGATGAAAAGGATGTTCTTCCTGCCAAGAATAAGCCTTCCCTCTGTTCTCTGGGTCCCACCGTCTCCTGCTGCCTTGGATGGATCAGTATCCTTCCCGATGCTGGTACTGATGAGTACTTGTTTCCAAACGGTTTGCTTAGTTATGAAGAAAATACATGGCAGAGACAGAGCAATGGGCCTCACGGGATTCTGGACGTTGGTACAAAGGCCCTCATTACAATAAACGCGTGGCCCGTGCGCGCAGCCCAGGGAGCGTGGCCACGCGGAGACCGGCCCGCCCGCCCGCCTCCACATCCGCGCCTACCGCAGGGCATAGGTCATCCGGTCGGGCCGCACGGCTCTCAGCACGCAGAGGCGCTGCAGGGCTGTCTTGCTCTTCCACTCCTGGGGGAGCTTCTCCTTCTCAGGACATTCTGATTCCACAAACTTCTTCCAGCTCTTGGCAGATCCCTCAATGTCCCGATCCAGATTATAGAATTCTTCCATTGAGGAAAGTGCCTGAAAATTTTCAAGGAATTTTGCTCTGACATGCAATTTCTCCAGAAAGCTGTCATTTACATGGAGGAGGGGGGCAAGATGGTATTGCAGACATAACTCTGTCTCATTTATATCTTTCCTGGAGACCTGTGTCTTCCCCCAGGTGAGTGCAAGGAAGAGCAGGGGTTTTGATCAGCTCGCCTTCAGTAAACTGCCCCCTTAGTACGCAAGGTTAGCAAATAAGGTGACTGGCATACAATCAGCAGGAGAGCCTGGGCAGCCGCTGCTCGGAGGGCCCCACAGGGAGAGAGGGACAGAGGGGATGCGTGACTGTCCTGGTTATGGAGCCGGGACCCCAGCGTCTCTGGCTCCTCCCCTTCCTTCCTGTACTCATGCTGCCAGCAACGCCTGTCAGTTTCTCTCTCAAAGTGTCTCTAGGATCATTGTCTTTGTGTTAATGCAAACTCTAAAATTTCCATGTGTTGCCTGGTTCCATAAGGATTAAGTCCAAATGCATAGCCTGTGAATTAAATATCTTCATTTCGGGCTTCCCCCCAATCCACCCAGTCAGCCAGGTGGCCTCCTGCCGTCCTACTCTGTCCTCGCGCGCCTGCCCTCAGCCCTGGAAGAGTGCCCACCCCAGTGCCTCGTTCACACCACTGTCACCGTGAGAGGTCCTGTTTTCTTCTCCACCAGTTTCCACTCCTTTCTTTCCTTGTGCTGGTCATGATTGTGTGTTAAGATTCCATAAGCTGTTAAAGTTCGGTCCAAAGTCAGTGAACGCCCCCACGTTCATCATCTCCAACCCAGAACCCACAGCCCTCCCAACCCTTCCTTTGCAGACCATTCAGAACTGCTCACTGAGTGGCTGATGTCTTTAATAAAGAGACGGACTCACTTTTTGGCTGTTTGACTGCTGATCGCTTTTCAGCGCACCCCTCCCCCTCCCTCTTCGGCTCCACATCGGGGCAAGCTGACAAGGAGGCCTGGCTCCTCCCCGCTTTGGTGCTGGGGGGAGGTTGTGCCACTCCAGCCCCTACCTCCCCTCCCCCAACTCCCATACAAGCCCCGAGCTTCCTGGCTCTCTCAAGCCATTTTCAGACTGCTTGGAGCTCCCCTGCTCCGCCCAGGAAGTCTCACAATGTGAGTAACAGACTTTCTCTACCCTCCAGGTACATGTGAGGCTTCATCAGTCCGGAAGCGGCGCCGCATTTTGGGCGGGGGTCCGTCCTGTTTCTTCAGAGGGCTCCATAATCACCACTCACTCAGACACCCGGTCACCTGCAGCCTTTCCAGGACTGCCCAGCTCTGCCTGTGTGTCTGTTCTCTCCAACGAGATTAAAAGACTGTGTCCAAAGCACCCACCACAGTGCCATGAGTTTTAAGGAACTTGTACATTCTAGTTATTTGAGATCATTCATTCATTCATTCATTTGATATTTACTGGATGCTGACGACATGCCAGGTACTTGGGAATACAAAGATGAACAAAACACATGGGTTTTCGAGGAGCTTACCATCCCAAGTTCAAGAGAAAGTGATGAGGGAGGACTTAGTAGGCATGTAGAATTCTGCTGGGCAGAGAGAGAGGCAGAGAGGAGGGAAGGGTATTTTATCAGGAAAGACCTACAGGAGCCAAAGTCCGGAGTAGGGAGAGCATGGGGCCTGATGCGTCAGGGTGACTGCGTGGAGGAGTCTGAAGGGCAACATGGAGAAGGTCGGGCTGGAGAAGGACACAGACGCATGACCTGGGCTTGTCCTGGCTCTTCTCCCACGTGGACGACATGTCCTGTCTTTATGTGCCTCTTCACGTGGGCTCCGTGGCCTGCAGGCTGCACCCTGACCACGAAGAGCAGGGAACACACCTGCCACTCTCGTGAGGAGCGGCGCAGAGTGGTGCGTGGGCGGCGGAGGGGGCGCCAGGAGGCGAGAGTGACTTGGAGTCCGTTTTCAAATCTTTGTGGGCTTTGATTTTCTCATTTGGAAAATGAGGCTGAGTCATCATTGTCCACGTGGTCCACGCTCTAACGCAGATGCCAGCGCACTGCCGACTGCGGAGCCTCTCCTGGTGCTTTCAGGAAGCTCTTCTAGCTACCGAATTGCAGTCACTGGTGTGCTAGTCTGTCACTCCCGCAAGACTGAGAGTTCCCTGCGGGCAAGAGCTTTCTGAGCCATCTTTGTGTGCCTTGGGCCTAGGGGCAGCCTGCACTTCCGAAATGCTCCATTAATAAAGTTTGACAGCTGGGCAGCCAGCAGGAGGGCCCTTGACAGGCTAAGCAATGCTGCAGCCGCGGTAATTATTTCTCTCTGTGCCGAGGAATGAACCCTCATCTTCTTTCCAGCGGCATTTTAGCCCCTCTTCCCAGCTTGTGTCGCCATTAACCCTCCTGCAGCCCCATTACCCCCTCTGGTGTCACCACAAAACTGCGGAAATTACACCATGATCAGGGCTCCCAGCTGTCATGGCTGCATCTGAAACCCGCTTTCTTGAAGCTCTGGGTTGAACACAATTGCAACATTTAATCTTCCAAATGAGGGAAAGGGATTTCTAGCCTTCTAATAAGCTAAATGGAAATGACTAATTAACCTAATTACATCGGACGGTCCAGCAAAGTACAGCTGCGCTAAATTGGCATCCGGAGGAGGAGTGAGGGCCCTTTCCAAAGGCTAACAGAGCCCTGCACTGCTGATGAGATTTTCCAGTGAAGGACAGAACATGCCCACCACCTTAAACTTCAACATTTGATGAGACTTTATAAATCCTTACAGAGGCTAAGAATAAAAGCAGTGTTTTATCACAGAGTTCATTCATTACCTGCTCATTAGTTCTTCTGGGGAGACAAGACAATCAATCTTCCTCATCAGACTGGATGTTTTTAAAATTTTTTGTTTTATCATGTCCCATTCAATTGTACTTTTGTTTTAGGCAAAAATCCAACCGAACACTTAAAAAGAGTACTCGTCAAAGGCACAGCGCCAGGCACGCATTCTGCGTGGTGTGGCACCTGCTCACGGCCCGGCTGTGCCTGGTTTGATGGGGCTGGACTGTGCGGCTCCACATAACAAAACTCAGAGAGAGAGAAATAGAGCTTCACTTGTTCGCAAAAGCCTTTGAACAGCCAGATGAGCTTCACCCACAAAACAAAGCAGAAAAGCAGAGTGAAGCAAAGCAAAGCAAACAATCCATTTGGTGAGAAGAGGAAAGAAACCAAATTGCACAGTAGCTTTTGAATGGAGCTCCGTAAATTGAAAGCAGTAAAGAGCGCTTTTGAATCGCTTCCTGTCTATGGCTTTTGCTGCAGAGGGCTTTAGGGGACAAGGCAGAGAAAGACAACTGGATGCGGCCCAACTGGGCGACTCCCAGTTCCTCAAAGTTCTTCCTTCCTTGGGCAGACTCCATCAGGCACGACCCTGTCAGCCGCCGTGTATGTACACCTTACAGGCGGGAAATTAACAATCATAACTGTGAGAAGCGGATCGTGTCCCCCTAGAAAGTATGTTAAAGAGCTAACCTCCCAGATTTGCGAAGGGGACCTTATTTGGAAACAGGCTCTTTGCAGATGTGATCAAGTCAAGATGAGGTCAGTAGGGTGGGCCCTGATCCAAGACGACTGATGTTCTTATGAGAAGAGAAGAGACGCAGAGACACACAGAGGGAGGGTGACCGTGAAAGGACCATGGAGAGGCAGAGGGCGGGGGGAGGCTGCCACAAATCAAGGACTGTCTGGAGATACCAGAGGCTGGAAGAGGCAAGAAAGGATCTTCTTGAGGTTTTAGGGGGGAGCATAACCTGCTAACACCTTAATTTCAGACATCTAGCCTCCAAGACTCTGAGGGGATAAATGTCTGTTTTAAGCCACCCGGCTCGTGGCGCTTTGTTAAGGCAGTGCTGGGAGACAGATACAGCGGCCACAACCACGACCACAATCAGCTTCCACTGACTGGGCGTTGATGTGTCTACAGAGCCCTGTGAGGAAGGTGTGGGGGGAGCCATCCTGCAAATAAGGAAACAATGTCTCAGACCACATGTCACAGACCACACACACTCAAATTTGAACTTACACCCAGGGATGTCTGACTCCAGAGCCTGTGTTCACTAGTTCCTGTCCATTGCTGCTCCAGTTCTGCAAATGGGCTCATTCAGAACTGCTTTCCAGAATTTATCTTCCATAAGGGCATCAGACTGTGAGTCATTATCCTCACACTCTGAGGCCGTACTGTCCAGCAAGGTAGCACCAACCACTGTGAGTACTGAGCAAATGAAACATGGCCAGTGTGACTGCAACACAGGATTTTTATTTGTATTTACTTTTAATTATTTTAAAATTTAAGTTTAGAAACTGGAATTTGCTTTAGTAATTTGAGAACCATTAAATAAGCTTGAAACAATTTGGGTATATGAATCAACTCTTTTAACTCTAAATTTTATAAAATATAAATTCAAATCAAGTATTTCTGATGAAGATTTAGTATCTGAACTGAGATGTGCTATAAGGGAATACACATCAGAATTCAGATTTATTACAAAAATGTGAAATATCTCATTAATGATTTTTGTAGCAACTACATACTAAAATGGTAATATTTTGGCCATATTAGGTTAAAGAAAATACATTATTAAAATTTCTTTCATTCATTTAATTTTATATTTTTTTTCATTTTGCATTTTTAATGTGGCTAATAGAAAAATTTAAATGACGTGTGACATGCATTACATTTCTTTTGGACAGTGCTGATCTAGAGTGTGTCTCTTCATTCATGTCTCATCTTATGTAGCCTTGAAAGGCCGATGGTTTTCCACACAGATGGTCTGCACTTACTGTAATCAGTCTTAGGTATTTTGTAACTTTGTGGTTTTGACTGGTGTCATGAATGGTGTGCCCCCTAGTTTCTTTCTCAACATGTTACTTCCCTTCTCATCTGCCAGATGGGCTTCACAATGATAGATGAAGTTAATATATAAAATTCAAGTCACACCTTTATTATTAAGATTGGCGATTAGCAAACTGCAGCTTTCAGGAACAATCTGGCCCACCACCTGCGTTTGTAAGTAAAGTTTTATTGGAACTCAGCCATTTCCACGTGCTTACCTACTGTGTGCAACCCTGGAGGAGCTGAATTGTTGTGATGGAGTCTGGCCCTCAAAGCCTAAACAGTTTCTTTGTGGCCCTGTACAGAAAAAGTTTGGTGACTCTTGATTTAGATAATAGCCCTAAAGATGATTAAAAGAAGAGCTACAGACTCTGAAAAAAAAAGTCAGAAAAACATTTTGGGCAATGGCAGCATGAATGAAATTAGCCTCAAATTTCCCAGGATGACTCCTTTGAAGAGGACAGCGTGCATTTAAATTATTAAGTGCTGGGCTTTTGTTATGAAGTAAATCAACTAGAATGGATCTCAAGGGAGTTACCCTGAGTGATGGAGCCAGTCCCCAAAGTTACATACAGTGTAATTCCATTTATATAACATCTTTGAAATGAGAAAATTATACAAATGGAGAACAGATTCGTGGTGGCCAGGCATCAGGGATCGGAGCAGGGAGGCTGTTATGGCTGTAACGGGGCGACATATACACCAGATGGAGTTTTCTGGATCTGGACTGTGGTGGTGATTACACAAATCTTCACATGATAAAACTAAACACACACACACACACACACACATATGCATGAAACACAGGTGAAATGAGAAGACAGTAGTGAACTGTATCAATGTCAACTTCCTGGATGTGATATTATGCAACAGGAATGTTAGACGGGACTCTGGGGGAAATGAGGTACAAAGGATAATCTCTTATTTCTTATAATCATTATCTCAAAAAAATTCAGTAAAAAATAGAATTATGAGAGACAGAGCCAATCATGTTACTCCAGACTCAGACTTCTTCCTGGTACCAAACACGTATGAAAGACAACAAACGCAAGGTCATAAATGAGATTCGTTTTGTGCCGATGCTGGTCCTCACACCTGCCGGGGGCTCATCTCGGTGGGGACATGGGAACAGGTCTGGACTCTGGGGCTGGTGTTCACCCATTGCACGCTTACTGCTCAGCACCACGTCAGGCCCTGTGAATGCAGGCACGGTCCCGGCTGAAAGGGCCCACAGTGGTGATCTATTCAATGTTCATAGAATCCAACTAAACTAAGCTGAATAACAAGGGGGAAAAAAAAACCCTGGCTTTACCACCAGACAGACCAGAACTCAACTCCCAGATATGCTACTTAAAAGAGGCGTGACCTCAGTTTCCTGATACGTTAAATGGGAACAAATAATACCTGTTGCCCAGGTGACCATGAGAATACAGCAAGGTAATGCACTTCTAAGGTGTTCAATAAATGTGAGCCCTTATTAAAGGCTGAGAATCCCAGGCTGGAGTGCGTCCCCTGCCTTGAGGCTGTCACGATTCCCATGGAGACGGATGCCTGGGCAGAGCCCTGGCATCGCCCGTTTCGTGGAAGTGCCAGTGTGGCCTCCGCACCCAGCCCAGGGCCCCACAGAGGAGCCCGTGCCCCAGCCCCGTGCACGGCAGCTGAGTCAGAGACACCCACAGGATGCTTCTGTTCCCTTGCATCCTGGAGGCAGAGCCCTCAGATGAGCACGCACCTGCTCCTCCTCTGCCAGGCCTTCCCAGGAGGCCCGGGAAGGGGAGCTCTGCTGTAGGGGTGCAGGCCAAGGGGTGCACTGATGTTAACACAGCTCATGGTGAGCCCCCACAAGAGTCCTGCTGACTTCCTGGGACAAGTGCCAGGAGAGAACTCCAGGAGAGGAGGACTTGACTGTTTGTTCCCTAGGGACTGGCACTGACCTTGATGCCACCCCAGGCCTGACGGGAGAGGAACTCCACGGGACTGGGGATGCCTGTCTGCACTGGAGAGCGAAGCAGAAAATCCAGCTCTGCTGCACCGACTTCCTGGTTCATGAGGAGAATCTGCAATGTGGAAAGACAGCACTGATTTCTTTAGCTGGTGGTGGTCACAGGGTCCTGGGGACCTTCAGGGTTGTCACTCAGCATCATGATGGCTCCTTCTAACACTAGAGCTTGCCCATCAGTTTTGGTTTTTGAAAGAGGGGGGAGTGGGACAAAGTGCATATCTGTGCAGGTCACCTCTGGGAACCTCTGTCTGCACCCCAGGTATCAGCATGACTTAATTGCACCCAGTGAATCTTGGTAAGCAAGGGCTTTATGGATCAATCATAAATGCCATGAAGCATATGCCTGCAATCTAACTGAAGAGATGACACACACAGATGAATGTATAGAAGTGCGCATGTGGATCAGCCCCGCTGGCGGGTTTCAGAATAGGGAGTGGCCAGCAAACAGGGGTGGGGGTAGGTCTGACTCAACTTTCTGTAAGGGGTTTTGAATTGGGTTTTGGAGAAGCCAAGAGAAGGGCAGATTTAGACAGGCTTCCTCGGGGAGGAGGCAGTGGAAAGTGCAGAGGCCCCGGCGGGAGTCATTACGGGGCGGGCAGGGGAGGTGAAGCGTGTGGCTTGGTTAGAACGAGTAGTTGCTGCTGAGAGGCGCTCAGGAGACCGTTCTTCCCCCTGCATAAGGTGCTCTCTGCTGAGAGCTTATAGGTGGGAATACTCGCTAAGAAAAAATGATTTGGTTAGTTTCAGGAAAAGTCTTTATGGAGAATGGCTAGAAAGAGCAGATGAGGTGAAGGGGTCCTTGAAAAATGAGGTTGGGATGTTGATGAGGGTAGAGTGAAAGCCAGGGGTGGAAGCACCTTGGGGTTTACGGGAAACGAGTGACAGGAGGGAAATTCGTCTACGCTGGGGCTCAAGTCCTTTTTGTGATGGCTGAGCTGCCATCTGGGCTGGAGAGGGGCGTACACAGGGTGAGAGGGATGAGCCACGCTGACACTCCTCCATGACTTTAGGCTTTGAAACAGTCAGCGCAGAAGTGATCATAGACTACTGGACTGTCAGAATGGGAAGAGGCCTGCAGGATAGTCTAATCTGTGCTTCTAATTTATATACGGGAAAAAATTCCAATCCTCAATGATTAGAAAGATAGTTGTAAGGAAATAAATTTTCATGGTTTTTTGATGGCGAGAATAAGCAGAAGACAAAGGTTTCTCATTAACTGGCAGCCGCGATGCACCCGAGCCCTTGAGAATCAGAGTTCTTAAGGACTTTTCTCAGGCCACGGCTGCTATGGCTATAGAAGGAAATCTGCAATTCCTTATTCGGGGGAAGGTTGGGACACTAACCTTGAAGGTAAATAATGAGGGTTACTCTAACAACGCTCTTACTGCATCTCGAAAAGTATCGAGTTGTTGGTAGGACCGTCCAGTTTCATCCCCAGCGGTAGTTTGGGTTGAGAGGTAGAGGCTGCTTGAGGGCTACACTGAGGAAGAGCCTAGATCATCCAGGAGCCCCAGGGAAGAGCACAACGACTGATAAGCATGTCTGCCACACGTGGGACCGCGGTGAGGGCAGCGGGTTTCTTGTCTGACGCCTCTGCTTAGAGCTCAAGTCTTCACAGACTATGGGAACTGACCTCAAAAGAAGAAAGTTTCTGTACACCTGCTGGTTGGGCACTATAAAATGGCCTGTTTCCTGGGAATTTCTTCAACCCACTCTTACCTGAAAGGCGAGCTGGGCAAGGTAGGTCAGCTTGTCACGCTCGAAGAGCCCGCGAGCGGTGTGCTGGTACACAGAGAAGGTGATGCTGTCTGTCAGGTTGGCCACTCGTTCCCCGAGGCTCTCGTCGGCAGCAGCCTTCTCCACAGCCTTCCGGAAGACGGCACTGAAGGCCTGGGGGCAAGAGGCAGGACACTGGGAGTTCACACAGCTCTCTGCACATGGCGAGTAGTCTTACCTCTGACAGATAGTACAATCTGCCCGTCACAGAAACGTCTTCCCAGCAGAACCTGCCAAGAAGGGACAGTGGCAACGAGAAAACTCTTGCCTTAGTTTGCTCATATAAATGATCACAGTGTCACAAAGTGGGCAAAGCTATGGGGCACAGAGAGAAGAGCCTACAGTTTTGGTCAGTGAAAAATAAATGTCCAGTGGCCAAAATAATTACATTAAATCCAACAAGTTTTGTTGGAAACAATAACCAGTTATGACAGATGGTTCTCCCCACTAGATTATAAAATTCCTGGTGGCAGAAATCAGTATCTCGTACAACTTTGCTGTTTAAAAGAGACCCTTATACGTAACAGGCACTCGGAATATTTTAAATCACTTTTCCTTTTGGAAATGATCAGGATATCAGATGTTGTTTGTTTTCGTTTCTAGTAACTCTGCAGACATTTGATGAGTCCACTTACATGTCCTTTCTCTCTCGTGGACCCTTTCTGTAATGGTGGGAGCACAGTCTGATTTAGTTACATTGTATGAACTACACATTCAGTTTTCCATTGTTTTAAACTTGAATGTAGACTAATTATAAAAATTAATACTAGGAATGCTGCATTTTGAATGTGACATGAATAGAATGAATCATTAAAGAAAATAAAAATCAAGATACGATCAGAACTTGTCAGTTTTCGGCTGCGCGGACTTCCAGTTTTCCCCCTGTTTTGTTGAACACACATTTCCATGGGCTTCATCTACTTTCCCTTTTTCAGGACTAGTCACTGCGGGAGAGTCCAGCCACTCTCAGGACTAGGGAGGTGAGCCTGTAGTTACTAGGCTTATGGTGCTAACTTTCATACTTTTGTTCCGTATTTTATAATTCTTTCATATGCTGCTTTGACCTGACTAGAATGCCAAGTATTGGATTTCTTTTAAAAACACAAAATATTACAAATGCAGTTCATTTAATCTGCAGAGACTCTGAGTTGTGGGATGGGGTTTGGCTCCAGCTGAATGTGTTCCGGGTCCTGGAGGCCCTCTGATTTCTCAGCCCTACACCTTGGCCTCCAGACGGCAGCTGAGCTTCACAGATGAGGTGTGTGCTGTGTTCTGTGTGTGTGTGTATGTGTTCTCTCTGTTTGTCAGGCTAAACCACAGAAGTTGTTCAGAGATTTTCCCCCACCCCTAACGCCTCTCCATCTCTGGTCTTTAGGAGAAAGCCTTAGTCACACTTTCAGAGACGTACTTAAAATGTATAGGTCTTCATTTTCTCATGAGCAAGATAAGTTTGGTGAGTACTTACGATTTGTTAACGTCTTTGATTTTAGAAATATTTCAGCAACTGTGAAGCAGTAGCTTTGAGGATATTAGGGAAATCAGGAAAGTAACTTAAAGTTGGACCATTACTATCGCCTGCTTTGGTTTTAACTGATACAAATGACACGCACATTTGATCACCCCTTTGATATTTTAAGCTCTTTGGGGGCAGGGGTCACTTCTGGTATTTCTTGGTGTCCTCTTCCACATGTGCAGCAAGCGGTGTGCCTGCTCTACGTCACGTGCACTGACTGAGCAACAGAGGCCAACACCTGCCGTGGCATCGCCTTCAGCTCCGGCCAGACCCCGAGCACTGAGTCATACTAGAGAGACGGGGCAGTGTAGTTGCTCTCCTGGGTCTGATCTTAAGGATCTAACGAAGTGCATGGACGGGCTCTCATGGAGGGAGAGCCATTCTGGCTGTGCTATGCTGCTTTATTGGGATTATGCAAAATCTCCAGGTGTGAGTCACCTTGAGCGAAAACTGGTACATTGGGTGGATCCTGCTGAGGTCACTCATGATGAAGTAGAGCAGAGAGGCTCGGGCGGCGGCCGGCCGATAGTGCTCCCGGGCCTCGTTGAGCTTCACTTCGGTCACCTTGGCCTCCTGCACCTGTTAGAAAAATAAGTAGCAGTCCGTTGCTCAGCAAAGGGCTTCATACAATGCCTGGCACACAGCAGACACTCAGTAATTGTTCTTTGATGTTAAAGAGAAGGGTAAAGAAAGAAGACAGGAGGAAGCAGGGAGAAGAGACAGACACGGTCGATTTCATCTCTGACCTTCGCCTCTGTGTGCATTGGGGTCTGTTTCCCCATCTCTCCCGCCCAAGGCAGTGGAACTTCTGCTGTGAGTGTTTCACGGACTCCACACGCCCCTCTCTAGAGACACGGAGGCGATGAGAACCCGCAATAAAGCCTGGTGGTCACACAGCAGTCGTGGAGACAAGGCTGCACCTTCCTCCTTTCAGCTGCTCACTCCAACCTTAGCTGTCTGTTATCCCAGCATGGGTATGACCTGGTTTACCTGCCCTCCCATCATTCCTTTTCATTTTCCCTAACTTGTCCCCACCTGGAACAAAGCCTTTTTTCTCATATTTGGAGAAATCACAGTATCTGGACAATAAAGGTATCCCTTCAAAGGTGTATCGCTCCCGGGCACTGTTAACAGATGAGCAGATTCTGCTCAGAACCATCATCTGAGTTACTCCCCTGGTCCGAGCGCAGGCCTGATAACCTGAAAGGGCCTGCGCCGGTTCCACAGTCTGCTGGGGAGCGTGAGGGGCAGGCCTCACCAGTCCTGGCTCCCAGCCCCACAATGGGGAGGAAAGGTCTCCCAACAGCTGTGAAATGAAGGAGGGGACTGTATACTAAGCTGTTTTGCAGGGTGATGCCGTTTTTTGAGAGCTGAGATTCCTGGGAGTCACTGAAGTTTTCTCATTAGAACCAGACCTGTGGGATCTCTGTAGGCTGTGGGTTTTCTCAGGCCTGCGCCTGTCAAGTTGTACAACAGTGTGATTCCTCAGCTTCAGGGCGATTCCACAGACTCTCAGATCCATTTGGCTCGGGTGAGCACCCCTGTACGGAACACGAGGCCCCGCACAGACATTAAGTGCTCGTCAACCACTGGTGGAGTCTGCCCAGGGCATCTCCCAGGAGGTGGGGGCTCCGCCACGCAGGATGAGGTAGGCACTTCAGGAATCCTCCTAGCTGGATTTTCCAGAAGAAACTTAGGAAGATGGCAGAGCCACCTGTTACTCTGATTTCTTTTTTTCCTAGCAGTTGGACTTAGGGACCAGGAAGAGGGCCTCTGCCTCCCAGCCCTGGCTACCAGGTCTTACCTTTTTCTCAATTTCCGCAGCGGTCTGCTTGGTGACCTCAAGGCTCTCCACCAAGGCCGTTTCTCCCAGGAAGTTCCCGGAGGCTGAGGAGAGGTGGGAGAGCAGGTTGTCTTCTAACGTTTTGAGGGTGATTTTGAACCCATTCTGCTGCTTCGTGAGATCTGACTGCAAGTATCAAAGAAGGGAGAGTCAGGTATAGGAGCCCAGAGCATCCTGTTCTTGGGGTCAGCTGAATACATAAAGGATTATGGGGCTGGTGTCCCTTCCCTTAGGGATAGCAAACTGGAGGGAGAAGATCAGAGTGCCTGGGACGGCGAGCAGGTGAGTTCAGCAGATGAATCCCAGTGGCGCCAATTACCAGTCACATGACCCTGGGCTGTGTTTCCCCTTAATACTCAGTAACCTCAGCTGGGTTAATCCTGTCCCTGTGCATGAGGGTGCTCTGCAATGCATGACACAGTGCTGGTACACGGTCAGGTCACTAAATGGAACTTATTTCTGGGACTAGTTAGAGGGTAGGGTCAAGTTTGAGCTCTCTGAAGGGTTCTCTCCACCACCACTTAACTGCCCCTAAAGGGAAGGCTCTCCTACAGATGGCCTTAAAAAGACAACTAGAAACTGTTCTACACGGTTTGGACAAGAGCATCCCTGGACTGGGGCATTGGTATCCATGCAAAGCTTGAATTTTTTTGTGGCAGGTGTAATTAGGTTTATTTATTTATTTTTAATGGAGGTGCTGGGGATTGAACCCTGGACCCTAGGCATGCTAAGCATGAGCTCTGCCACTGAGCTGTACCCTGCCCTCCTCAAGCAGCTCCTGCCTCATCTCCCCTTTCTGGTGGTTAGACTCCTTACCCTAAAGCACTGGGTGCTCTCGCTCTCTTTTTGGGGTGGGGATGGGGGGCCCACATGTAACTTTGGGCAGCCGTGGTTTCTTTGCTCTTGTACAGCCTGGGATTATTGCTTTTGGGTCTGTGGCAAGAACAATTTTCCTCTCGGAGGCTCCAGTCACAACCACCCCGGCCTATCTTCTGTCTCCTAAGAACACATGACTCCATCCTCCCCAACAGCCAGGACACACTCTTCTCTCTGCGGGAGCGCTCTGTGCTGGAAGCTTTCAGATTGTTTAAGAATCAGCTCATGTCATCTCCTCATAGAACTTTGTTTTGATCTCCCAAGTCTAAGCCCCCTGGCTCTCTAACGTCGCCCTGCTTTTACAATCTAATAATGTCTAAGGAGAGGGTGACAAAGGATACAGCTTGCTGTGGACAAAACTGTGCCTCCACAAATTCCTATGTTGGAGCCCTAACCCTTCTTGCGACTGTGCTGGAGGTGGGGCCTCTAAGGTTAAATGAGGTCATGAGAATGGGGTCCTCGTGGTGGGATTCGTGCACTTATAAGCAGAGACACCAGAGAGCGTGCTCTCTCTGCACACAAGGAAGAGGTCTGAGAGCACATGGCGGGACAGCGGCTGCCTACAAGCCAGGAAGAGGGGTCTCAGCAGAAACCAACCATGCTGGCCTCCAATCTCCGACTGTCAGCTTCCGGACTGAGAGAGAAGAAGTGTCTGTTGTTCAAGCCACTTGGTCTACAGTACTTTGTGGCAGCAGCCCAAGCTGACTAAGATGCTACCTATCCTAACGTGGCTGAAGCTGTTTCTGCTGCCCTGGTAGAACTGACCCTACTTAGCTGTGGACTTAGACACGTGAACCTGTGTGACGAGCATGGCCCCAGCATGTCCCCAGACAGCCACGCCTGGCCTGCTCCCGGGTGAGCGTGTGGGTTCCCCTGCTGCCCTGTGCCTCCTGTTCTGTGACCTGCTCCATCCTGCGTTCCTAACATGGGGCTCCAGGTGGCTAGATGGTGGTGACACTCCTCCAAGCTCTGGCAGAACCCACGCTGCTCAGCTTCTGGAAAAGCAGCCCCCAGCCCGCCCAGAGTGGGGCACATGGCAGGGGCTGGTGACAGAGCATCTTCTTCCTCCCCTCCTTGGTGGGTACCCGACGCACCTTCAGCTGCTCCAGGTCTGGCCTCTCCATGCTGACCACGGCGGCCAGCAGCTGGTCCTCCAGGCCGGCCCTGGTCACGGTGAAGTTGATGAGGGTGGCCTGAGCCTGCAGCTCGGGTTGGTAGTGAGGGCTGGCCAGCTTGGTGTGAAGGATGAGCCGGAACTCGGGATTGTACTCACACTCTTTGTCTCCGATTTTAATGAACCTGGAACACAAAGGCTCATGTGAAGGTGGGGTGCCTTCCTTGGAGGTCTGGTCGGGGACAGACCATAGATTTTTCTTTTTTTTGCAAGATCATAGCAAACGACATTATCATATTCAGATGGGCTCCTCCCAAGCGTGTCTAGACTGAGCTCTAGGATCCCCGTTTGTCCTCATGTGGGGAGCAGGGGTGGAGGGTGACAGACTTTCTCCTCCAGCCACCACGTTTGATTTTGCAGGCACGGCTGAAGGGAGAGCCGGTCACTCTGCGGCCGCGTAGATTAGCACATCATGAAACAGTTCCAGCAGATGGCGGTAAAGCGTTTGCAGGGAAGGGCACCTTTCTTGCACAAACGTGACTTACGGGGTAGCAATAGGGCCTACGTTTTCTCTTGGCTGATGAAGCATTGCTTCTATGGGTGGAAATGATTAATTAAGTGAATAAGCACACCCGAAGGATATGCCAAGGCGAGAGACGGCCTGGGCGGTGGGTGAGGCTCCCGAGTCCACGCAGCCCTTCCTGACAGTTGTCCCTCCCTCCTCCCCCTCCTCCCCTCCCCCTCCTGCCAGACCCTTGCTGAGCCCTGGTCAGCGACCAGCACCCAAAGCAACGCAGGCTCATCCAATCGACAGAGTTGAGTTCTCAGAACTCAGATGACTGGTTTCAATAAAACGCTCACGGTTAAAAGTCAGCCTGCTTTTTGACCACTTTCCCTCTAAAGCTCCTCCAGCTGGTGCACTGTGGCCATTTTGAAGCGAGCTAATGAGCTGGCTGTTGGAAGTTGTTCCAGGAAACTTTCCCTAGGACACCAGGGCAGCTAAATATTCTGCTTCTGGAAGACTGAAAGGTGTGCTTCGGGGGAGCTCTTTGAGGTGAACTGAGGAGAGGACGTTCTCGGAAGAGCAGGTCTGTCCAGGCTCCACCAGGGGCCGTGAACCGGCTCCTCGGAGAGGACCGGCAGTGCAGCTGACTCTCACCGTCCTTTCTTAATGACTTCTCTCCCCAGCAGCGGTCCCAGCACAGGGTCGATGGACTCTTCCAGGTTTTCAATCAGCACCACATCTCCGGCTTCCAGGGCACGCTCTACGGTTTGAAGGTAGCTGAGGAGAAAGTGGGGCAGGTGAGCCTGTGGCAAAGCGCAGATTCAGAGGCAATTTAATAAGACAGCCGTGCCTCTGCAGCACAAGGGTAAACTTGGAGACACAGTCCTTGGGGATGACTTCAGTGGCACATTTTTCTCTACTTAAAATGGTATTTAAGCGATCTGATATATCTTTTAGAAATAGGGACAAACTACAAAATGCAATTTATTTATTTATTTACTTATTTATTGAGATACCCTCTTTTTTACTATGATAGACTACTTTGAGACAATAAATGTTACTAAATATAAAACTAAACAATTAAAGGCTGGTATAGTATTATACAAATACAAAAGAGTAAAGACTCTAATAACATAATTTAATATAGAGTAAAATGTCATCTCTAATTAATCGGAGAAAAGATGGAGAATTTAATAAATGGTATTGGAACACAGGCTAACTGCTTGAAAAATGAAAATTAGGTCTGTACGTTATAGAGTACCCTAAAATATATTTCAGGTGATTGTATTTCAGTGTAAAAAGAAAACCATAAAAAACCTTAAAAATCTAGGTGAATATTTATATAATTTCTGGAGAGAAAAAAGACTTTTCGAAGCACCGATTTATAGAGGAAATGTGTAACAAATCTTACCCCCCAAAAAGCTGTAGTATGTCAAACCGCACAAAACTAAAAGGCCAACGACACACTTGAACACATATCCATTCATTCAAGGGAGACTATACTTAACAGTCTTAGCACGTGTTATACACAATGTAATACCCATATTCAAATAATACACAACAAACCTAGAAGACCGCTCAACAGAAAGATAGTCAGCGGACTTGAACAGAGAAATAATTACTAGGTGTCAGGCACTATTTTCGGCACTAGAGATGTAAGAATGAGCAAAAAGAACAAACTTCTACCTAGCACGCAGTTACTGGTCAGTTAGAAAGGAGTATTTTAATCGCAGTTTGAAGGGAAGGCGAGGATTAGGTGACTGTGGCGGATGACACACTCCGTCATTCCCGTCCCTCGACGTGTGCAGTAACTCCCCACGTGGACTCGTGGCTGGACAAAGGGCTCTGAAGGTCTCCTAATTACCTCAGCTGCTAAGCAGCCCTCTGCAAATGTCTGGCGGCCCCTCGGGAGAGAGAGTTTAGGCCTCTTCCATGCGGCTCCGGGGCAGAGGTCAGAGCAACAGGTAGAAGAGAGCTGAGGGAGGAAGCTCTCGGCTGAGTGTGAGAAAGACCGCAAAGCACAGCGATGCCTGACAGTGGGAGAGGCTGTCTGGGAGGCAGGAAGTATTCCAGGAGAGATGGGAGGATGATTGCCCCGGGCTGGCGGAGAAAGGACTTGGGGATGGGGTGAGAAGAAGTGATGCATATGATTTCTAACGGGGAAGAAGAGCAGAGACTCAGTACCCAAGCATCTCTCCTTGAGATGGTTCCTGAAATGAGAGGACAAACTCGAGAAGGTTCATGGGGGGATCAGGAGGGTAGAAACAATCCACTGGGGTTTAAAACCCACTCATAACATTTTTTTTCCTCGACCTAAGTGGCAAAGTGGGAAGTTTTATGTGCAGCCACCTACCCCTTCTGACCAATCTGGGTGACCCGGAGGGCTGCGCCATACTTGTTCTTGATCCATTTGATGCCTTGCAGCTGAGGGTCCACCAGGAGCGGCCAGCGCTCGCAGTGGAGGAGGATGGCGGCATTCTCCGTGGACATGCGGTCCGCAGGGAGGCCCTCATTCTGCCAGGCAGCCACGTCGGCATCATCTGTCAGCATCTTCAGGGGATCCAGCGTGGGGGTCACTGGGATGGGCACCTGGCGGTGAAGAAATGCCACATGTGCTCAGAGCGGAAGCACACGCCCTTGGCTGGGATGGACTCCACAGGGGCTCACTCCAAGGATGGACACAACTCCAACAAATGCAAGACCCAAATCCCCCTGAGGAGCGCTTTTCTGGCTGTGTGCTTGTTTCTGGAAGCAGGCTTTCCTAAAGTCCCGAGAGTCTTTTTATTGATTTTTTCTTGATGGAAGAACAGCAGCAGAAATTCCACCCCTGCAATCCTCTGTTTTTCAGTATGTTCACCTAAACCAGATTTCTGCCACCAATTATTTGTATTTCAGTCAGCAGCCTCCATACGTCTTCACTCACGTTAACAGGTCCCTGCTCTGCTGCACTTCTGTGCGTCCCCAACCAGGCCCCACGCCAGCCCCACTGAGCACTCTCTCCTCCCCTCTCATCACTGTCACCACTTGTGGACCAATGCCCAGCTTTCCCCTGCTGCCAACCACTCCCTTTCCCGCCTGCCTGCTGGTGCCCTGGGAGGCCTGGGAGCAAGCCCTCGGCCCTGTCCCCCTGGGAGCCTGTGCCCACCAAACCCTCCCTCTTCTGTCTCTGTTGACCTCTCTCAGCTCATTTAATTCTTCTACAAGTAATCTTTTTCACTGGAAGCACATATACCTTTGTTGTTGTTGTTAGCGGAGGCACTGGGGATTGAACCTAGGACCCTGTGCATCCTAAGCCCGCATTCTACCACTGAGCTATATCCCCCCACATCCACTTTTTAAAAAATTGGAGTAAAAGTCACATAACTTAACCATTTGAGAGCACACAAGTCAATGGCACAGTCCATTCCCAGTGCTGTGCAACCATCAACTCTGTCTTGTTCCAAAACACTTTCTTCACCCCAAAAGGAAGCCCAGTGTCCATTAGCAGTCCCTCCCCATTCCCTGCTTCCCCCGGTTCCCAGTCTGTCTGCTTTCTGTGCCTGTGGATTCACCTATCCTGGACGTTTCACGCACACGCTATCATGCGGTGCGTGACCTTTTGTGTCTGCCGCTTTCACTGAGCAGAATGTTTTTGGGGTTCACACAGACGCCCTTGTAACCACTCCATCCCTCTCTTCTTTGCAGCGTGTCTTCCCAGTCGCCTGAGGAAACCTCTCCAGGCCATCTCCTTTCCCTACACTCAGATCTGGGAAGGCACCCATGGCCAGTGTTAGACCTTCAAGCAAACCTCAAAAGGGAAACCAGCCACTGGAGGTTCTCATCCTGGGATCAGAGACGTATTTCAGTAGAACTGTTTCCCTTGTGATCGTATGCATTCTACTTCATGCGCTCAGAAGCACCACCGTGGGAGGAACCCAGAGTCTTCCCAGACTGCCACAGGGGCCCGTGGCACAGAGGTGCTCCAGGACCCCAGACCAGCCGGGACAGTCCTGCTTGCGGCCACTGGGCTGCTCACCTTCCTTCACGCCGCTAACGATCTCTTCTCAACAATTTCCTTTTCCACAAGTGTTCAAGATGAATAAGCAACAGCCTTATTTTTTGTTTATTTCCCAGTACTGTAACAGCTTTAAAAACACTCTTCGGCAAAGCATCAGGTGAGTCAGATTTTATGAGCTGAGCTGTGAAGCCAACTGTTACCAGACAGCGGGGGTTTTGTGTTCTAAGGACACACCTACAAGTGAGTTTCGGGGTCCAACCCTTACTGCACGTGGGGACTTCGTGTGCCGACGCTCTTGCAGCTGCTGCTCTGACTCCTAGCTTCTGTCGGGCTATGGACCCGGTCTTGGGGATCTCCTCTAGCTCCTGCCGGCGGAGTGGTGGAGAGTGCAGGCTGAGGACTGGGTGAGAACTGAGGGCTGTGAGGGATGTGGAAGTGTCATGATGCACACAGACACCCAGACACCCTGGATAGAGGATCCAGTCAGGAGCTAGCGTGAGGGCCGGGGAGTACAATCCACCTACTTACACCAGGAGCGGAGCACACAGGGCCAGGAGGAGAGGAGCACACAGGGCCAGGAGGAGAGGCGCACACAGGACCAGGAGGTGAGGAGCACACAGGACCAGGAAGTGAGGATGCTTTCATAAGGGTGTCTGTGGGTCACGGATGGGCCGTGCAGCTTTGGGGCCCAGTAACGAGGTACAGTGCAGTATCTGGGGAAGGAGGCCCCCCACCCAGGCTCCATTGCTGCTATGCAGTTTGGCACAAAACCAGGAAGGTTGGAGGGAAACACAGGGGCTTTTGCTGCCCGTCGGGTTTTACAGTTTTGAGGAGTGTCCAAAGACAGCCTGGGGGCAGCGGGTGGCCGGGTAGGGAAGTGTGGAAAGACACCAGTGCATGTGTCTCCCTCCTGGATCCCAGAGGTCACTGGGGGATGTTCAGGTGGTGGTGGGAGAAGGTCTGCAAGAAGGGACTAGAAGACTGGGGTTACGATTGTCACCTGAGCTCACTGGTCCCCCCAGGCTGGTGTGCTCAGGAGAAAGGCAGGCTGTACGTACCTGCAGCTGGCTCAGGTAGGGTCGCCAGGTCCCGTCCATGAGGCTCTGCCGGTACTTCTTCGTAAAGAAGCCAAGGTACGAAATAAAAGCCGTGGAAAGTAAGACGTCTCCACACAGTTTCCTTTCCTGTTGCTTGAAGTCCTGCACAGCTTCTGCCCACCTCACGTTTTCAGAGGCAAGTCCTGCCACCTACCATTTCAAAGGGCAGACGGGGGAAGGCACGTCATCCCGCCGGCCCCAGAGACATGGTTCGGCCTCGGAAAAGGCACAGCGCGCGCCTCGTGGCAGGAGACGCACAACACGGTTTACGTGGCCCTTTGATCAACGAGGGTTTGCACCCGCTGCAGCGAACACTGCGGGAAACGAGCCCTGCTCTCTGCTCTGCACTCCTTGGGCTGTGGGGAGAGGACAGGTCTGAAGGCGGCTTCCAGGCCCTGCCCGGGGGCGGAGACCAATGCGCCCGCCTCAAAGGGCTGTGGAGAGGATTTAGTATGACTGCGTGTCCGTCACTTGCACCCTGTCTGGTCTGCAAACTTAATAGAAAACTATGCACCCCCCTCTTTTCCTCTCCAAATGCTGGGGGTGTGAAAATAAGTAAAACTAGCTGCACTAGAAACAGCTCACAGTGGGCGGGGAGATGGACATGGTAATTAAGACCCAGAGCCAGAAGCACCGACACACGGGCGTGGACAAAGCAACAAGGCTGCAGAAGGCGTCCTGGCTGCACGGCCCACGTCAGCGGGGCGCCCCCCGCTCCGTGGGCATCCTCTCCCGGAGGGGACAGCCTCTTTCTGCGGGGGACTGTTGGGTACTGTTGGGCGAAGCTTGCTTCTGTGCGATGACTTACCCTTTGTTCCCCCTCGAAAGACGGCATCCTACGACGTCAGAGCTGGGAGAGACCCGAGGGACTGGCCCTCCTGCCCATCCCCACCCCATTCTTAGATCACACGGTAAAGACCAGGAAGTCCGAGCATCTCCTCAGAACCTGCAGGCCGGCAGAGGCAGGGCGGCTTCAGAGCCCACCCCTCCTGAGTCCTAGAGCAGAACACCCCACTGCCTCCTGCGAGGACCAACTCAGGAAAGGCTCCAGCTGGGCAGAGAAGGCCGTGCTCAATTCTGCAAACCAGACAGGGAACTGAACGGAAGACAGGCCAGCAGGGAGGTCCTGACTACTTCCCGCACGTCTGCGGAGGAGCTGTCTCTAAACCAAACTGTTCAGTGAAAGCGAGCACCACAAAGCTCTGCAGCAGCAGGTGCCGCAGACAGCAGCCTGGACACACTCCTGAGGCACAGCATCTTCCCCGAGCACAGCCCAGTCCCACGACTGTCATGGCTCATTTCCCCCAGACCAGAGAACCTGGCTTTGCTATGAACACAAATGGTTCTACTTCCTTTCATTGGCGAGGAAGGTGCTGTAAAGGCTCTTGGTCAAGGAGAAATCACATCCAGTGGACCTGCTTTGCAGCCTCTTAGCTGATTTATGATGAGAAATGTGAGCCACAGGGGACTGGAAAAGGCTGCAAATCCTGACTCGCCTCTCGTCAGGAGCTGTGTCTCCGCACCCTCTCCCGGGTCTGCGGCTGCCGGGACCAACAGCACACAGCGGGAGGAGGCCGCGCTGGCTTTGGGTCCTGGGCCTTAAGAGAGTGGGACCTTCTGCTACCTCGGAGCACTTGCTCTGGGAGGCCTGAGTCGCCATGTGAGACATCTGACTACCCTGCTGGAGAGACCGAGCTCATGGTCAGAAACACTCAGGGTCAGCCACCTGCCTCTTCTGCTCCGTCTCAGCTCCGAGTCCTGCCCGCACCCTACTGCCACACATCGCACAGGTGAGCGCTTCAGAGCCTGCCTATCGAGTGCTAGCTTTGGCCTTCAAGGCTTCTTCTGGCCGTGCACATCCATGTAAGCAACTCTCAGAAGCGGCCTGACTGATAGAGCGACGCTTCTCACCGCCCCACGCCCACCCCATCCCTGCAGGAGAGTCTGACTAGACCAGGGTGTGTATTCACGCTCTTCTCAGGACTCGGTCCCTGCATCCCAGCACAATGCAATTCCCCCCGACCCCCGTCAAAGCAGCACTCGGCTCTTTCCGTGCATCTGTTTTGCACCTTCTGGGCCACCTGACATGCTCAGCTCCTGTAGTTAAAGCTCTGCCGTGAGGCTCACACTCACCAGGCGATTCGCAAGGGAGATGGTGCCTGCAGTCACTTCTGCTTCTTGCTGACATTTGAGTTTGTCCGCTGTTGCTTTCTCAAACTTGGACGTGAGTTTGGCCAGGTTTTCATTAAGGTGCTGTTTAGGAAGGAACACAAGGTCTGTCGGTAATTCTAGCCCAAGTCACTTCCAGTACTTCTGAAATAGGGTTCATGTGCAGGTGTTGTTTTTTTTTTAGCAAGAGAACAAATCCACACTTTTATTTACTTTTCAATAAATTTAAATCCTTGAGGGGTACAGCATCACATGGATTCTGTGTCCAATGGCCTTAGCAGGAAGACTGCTTTGGAACTTGGCACAAACTACCCCGCTGTTTCCACGAACGTGAGTTGCCTTTCCCCAGATTACTCTGGTTTTGTTCTGTTTCCCACTGGGAGTTACTGTGTTGGTCTTTGCTTTGGAAACACAAGCACGACTCTTGCCTAGATAGAATTCAGTTCCATCCTGAGCATAAACACTTTCAATTTTAAGACCTGCGTACTCCCTCTGGGTCTGCAGACCCCGCTTACAACCAGCAAAAATGGCCTTGGACCACAGCCTTCCAGACGTTTATCGTTTTAGAAGTCCTGTTCCCAGCAGCCCTCCACAGGCTCCAAGATTGCTAAGAGAGCCATGGAGGTGATTTTTAAGGAAGGCTCCAACTGTGGGGAGCCATGAGGGACCAGGGAAGGCAAGTCAGGGGCGTTCTCACACAGAAGCCAGTGCAATTCCAGAGGGTCCTTCCCCAAGTGAAAGAACTAAGTTTTCTTTTTCAGCTCCTTGGTCACTGGTTCAGTGGTCACTGGTCACTTCCCAAGACTAGTCCATCAAAAGGGTTGATGGCCAAGGAGGGAAATGCTTAAATTCTGTCTCTCCCTGTACTGGGTACCAGAAGCCTGACAAAAAAGGACAAGTGCTGCTGTTAGAAGCAAGAGCTCACCAACGCCCAGGGAGGCCTGAAAACGGCCAGAAGGGTCCCAGGGTTGCTGCTGCAGCTGGTCTGTGGGTTGGGGTCGGGCTGTCTGCAACTGGGTCCTCCCCTTGCCTTAAGGTCCTAGGAGTGCAAGACAACTTCTCCTTGACCTCATCTGTTGTCTTCAATTACCCCAAAGTAGAGGAATGTTTTTTTTTAAAAGACCTGTTTTTTCTAAATTTATTAAGCACACAACTTTCGCTGCCCCTACAACCCACATTTGCACATAGACACATGGACATGCAGTAGACGCCTCCAGGCGTGTCTTGTGTCTGTGCAATAATGGGCTCCAGGCTGCCTTGTCAGTCACTACCAGGTCACAGGAGGGGCTGAGCTGCTACCGCCAGGCAGCTTACAGGGCAGGCAGTGAGCCGCCCCGTGAACGACGGCAGGCTGGCCACGCTCATCCACCTCCTCTTCTTCAGAGACGCCTCTAAAATGATTATGAAGCAATTCAAAGAGTCACGACACCAAGGAACTGTTGAGGGCCCCTCAGCTGTGAGGGATTCCCACAGTCTGATGGAAGACCACAGGGACAGAGAAGCAGAGACTGCCAGAGCAGTGCAGAGGATGCTGCAGCTTAGAGCTGGCCTCTGTTCACCAAGCGGGGAGCTGACCAGCTCTGCAGAGCCCTGCACACGCTGGTGACTGGAAACGTCAGGTGCAACGGAGGGGATGCTGAAGATGACAGGGATGCCTGGAAGCCTGCTGACCCCCGCCCCACGTGTCCACCCCCATGCCTGGTGTGCAATGCCCCAGGCCTTGGTGTCACCAGCAGGAGAGTCAATGGTGGCAGAAAAAGAACACCGGCACTTAGGATGCATGCACCAAAACTCATCTGATCTAGGAAGCAACTTCTTCCAGTCAGCCAGGTCGCCCTTGCCTGCGGAGCTGTAAGCAGCTTTTGATCACTACTCTTGTAAACATGAAAGGACAAGATGGCATTTGATGAAAGCTGAGATTAAAGGTGAACGAGAGGGAGAAAAGTGACCTAGGAAAAAGAGAACTTCAGTCACAACAAGGGCAGCTGAACAGGAAGCCCTTCATAATTAGTTTCTCAGGGAGATTCAAGATGTTTCATCCATAAAACAAGAGGAGGAGCCTAGGAAAAGGAACAGAGAACAAAAACAACTTGTGGAAATAATCACTATTGATAATGTGAAAAGTAATGTTTCAAGGGAAGGGTTAAAAGATGAATCTGAGGGACTCTGACAGTGTAAGAAAACGTACAGTGACAAAAAGAGGGAGGGAAATAGAGGACCCACCAGAAGGTCCAGTATCCAACCAGTATGCATTCCAGAAAAGAAGAGTGAAAAGGAGGCAGAAGGGAGATACAAAATCATCTTCTGGAACCGAAGGAAATCAGCCTCTACATGCCAAACACAATGCATAAAGAAAGAGCGGCCGTTAAGCACATCCATGTAAAGTTTCAGACACCAAGAATAAGGAAAATGTGGAAAGAGTTCCAGGAAGTCAGAAGCACAGTGCACCAACAAAGGATTGGGACCCAAAGGAATGAGACCCATACAGTAATGTTCTGAGGGGAAAAAATTAGCACCAGAATTTAATACTCAGCAAAACTGTCAATTCAGTTCAAAAATAAAAAGATATTTCCAGGCTGGAACATTAGAAAATTTACTTCTTACAATAACATTTCTGAGAAAGTTACTTAAGAATGAGCCGTTGCAAAACAAGAGGCGAAATCAAGAAAGAAGGTACAGGATCTAGACGTCACTGGAATGAACCCAAGGAAGCAGAGAACGTGATTACTCCCTGACACTGATTGGAGCTTTGAGCTGGGAACATGAGAGAATGAGCAAAGGGGACTCAGTAGAACACTGGACTAGATGGAGAGTTTAAAAAATTGAGGCCAAGCAAAAGGAATTAACCGAAGAGAGAGGGGAGAGGGGAAGAAAGTAAAAACTCCAGAGGGGGAAAGTTTGTATAAACAAAGGAAATGTAACTGTACTCAGATCTACTACGAACAATATAGGCAGATTCATAGACTATAGATGGAATTTACTGATTTTTCAACTTTCTGAATCAGTCAGTGGACAGAGAATGGGATAATTAATGTTGGTTACAGAACAGAATGTAGATATTTTCAGTCTTGGTGATGCAAAAGCAAAAGTAACGGTAAGTAATGAGAACAGAAGTCGGAGGTAGGAGGGAGGGGGAAGAGCTGAAGGAAAGGGTAATGGTTTCGTCTTGAAAACCGAGGGCTCCAAGGAAGCAGTGTCTACATGATGGAGCACGAAATGAAGGTGACGTCAGCTAAACACAGTTGCTGTAACGGTGCCAGGAAGACATGGGGATGAGAATCTTAGAGCCTCATCTGGCAGAAAGTCGACTGCCTGAATACGATACATCCAGAATAAGGATGCCAGCACAGCACACAGACAGGGGGCAGAAATTCAAATGAGCAGAGGCCATGAAGACAATGTGAACTAGTCAGATGAGTCTAATGTTAAAAAAAAAAAAGTAGGAGTTGGTGGGGACTATGAAAAAATGCTGCTTGAGTGGGAAGCCACTACTTAACTCCAGGGTCAGTTAGTGATATTCAGGAATCTTTTGATTATTAAGAGACTGGTGGCAGGGAGGGTGTAGCTCAAGTGGTAGGGCACGTGCTTAGCATGCATGGAGTCCTGGGTTCAATCCTCAGTACCTCCTCTAAAAAATAAATAAACCTACCCTCCCCCAAAAAAAGAAAGAAAGAAAGGAAAAAAAGACTGGCCAGAAATCAGATTTTTTGGTTTCAAATATTGGCAAGTAATGGAATCATTTTGGAACACTACGTGCAGGCTAAATACCACACACGCCAGTCACTGGGTAGCAAGCTCTGAGTGGCATCAACAACCAGTTGATTCACACAAAAAAGGAAAAGGGCAGGAGACTGTCGTTTCTCATTCCAAGCTCTTCTCTCTGATCTGATATTTGACTTGCGTGTGAGCAAACACTCAATGCAAATGCCTCGCTTGTTTGTATTACTATTATTTTTATAAATTAAAATAATAATGTGCATTCATGATAGAAAAAAAGAGAAAATACAGATAATCAAAAACCATCCAGAATCTACCACCCAGAGATCACCACCACTATTTATACTTGTATATATTTTAATTATATATATATATAAAATCAAATTGAAATTACCTTGTATAATCTGTTTTGAAAGATGCTTTTTTCCCCTTTATGGATCTTGAATATAGAATTCTTTGGTTGGAATTATCCTAAAATCCTAAAAATAAGGCTTGGGGGGTTTGCCACTGGAGGAGGCCGGCAATGACCTCAGGGACACGGAGGGAGGCGCTTTCCTGGCCTGAGTGGGCCTCCAATTTGGGATAGGTGTTGGCCTGTCCCTTCTGTTCATACTGGGCAAGTGTCTGCACCCTTGGGATGTCGACAGACATGAGGATATAAGCAAAGGATGGAGAGGAGGTTGTTAAGAGTGAGAATGAATTTTTTTCAAAAAATATTTTGGCAGAAAAGAAGTGCTTTCTTAAGGTAGCCAAGTATTTTTAAAATATTCTGCTTGCTTTCACAGGTTGAATGGGCCCATCGCGTGCATGTTTGCTACTGAAAAGGTATAAACATTTTGAAAACACTGCCTTTGCACCAAATGTTCCTTTGGTTAAAATAACTTGAGTAAGATTTCTTTGAAAATGCAGTTCCTGTAACACTTTTCTGGGAGAGACTGAAGAACATGAAAATTATCAGAAGATCTTTCTCTCCACCAACAGTCAAGGGGGTGTTACAGTATTTTGCCCTTGGTGTTCTTTCAAGAGGGCCACTGTGGGGGTGATTATCACATTTTCAGTAAACCAGCCCATGAACATCTGGATTTATAAAGCAAACATATGGAGTGACTAGTTGCTTTGCCAAAGCATCTCTTCTTTATAGAGAGACTGGTTGCAAGGATCTCTGAACTAGAGCCTTCAGCCATAGAATTTAATCTATCAAGTAAACCCAGGAGACATGCCGCATGTCTGCAGTCCTCCTTTTCACAATCTGTAAAACCCCTTTTTAGCGTCAGGAGAAATTTGCAGCGAGAATCCTATTGGCCTGGAAGGCATGTGTAGAAATGAAACATCCAGGGATTGTTTTGGACTGAACTTGATGACAGCAGTGACTGATTACCGGGGCTTGTGCATGCACGCAACGGCACGTGCAGGAGGAGGGGTGGAGGAACGCTCGGCATCCATGGCCGAGGGACCCCTGTGTCCCCACGGCTGGGCTCTGGGCTTGTGCTTCCGTGCCTTCTCTCCTTTCGTCCTCACAGCAGACTCAGGAAGCAGGGGTGATTACTGTGTCCGTTTAACTACAGGAAACTGAAGTTTGGGCACTTTAAAGGCCTTTCTAAAGGTCCCCCACAGTGGACTGGTAGGTCTGCTGATGGAATTTCTGCTGCTATGCTGTCCTGCAGGGTTCTGATTTCTACCTCTCACTTTGGTAACATCCATTTTAATGGCAAACATGAAGTTCAAGGGGAAATCTCTCCCAAACAGGTGTGAATCCAAGATCACTTCCATTCCCCAATCCTGGGTGAGGGACATATCATCGAAATATCAACAAACAGGAGGGAGGGTGTAGCTCAGCAGTAGAGCACATGCTTAGCACGCACAAGGTCCTGTGTTCAATCCCCAGTACCTCCATTAAAAAAATTAATAAGTAAACCTAATTACTCCCCCCACCAAAATATCAACAAAGAGGTTAGTAATTTTATATTTATGGCCAAGGGACCACCCTGCAAACCACAATATGCTATGTGCTTTTTTAAAAGCTTCTATAAAATGATGCAGGTAGCATCAAACACGCACAGCAGGCCCAGATGTCCACACCACTGAGAGTGAGAGGGGCAGACAGCTGGCCAGAATGGAAGGTAATGGTGCACAAGGTGAGGAAATGTGACCAAAACCTACATTTCAAAGAGGAAAAAGAATCTCCAGCTCTTGACCTTTTGTTCTTAGCTATCAGATGTGCAAAAAATACTGAATGCATTTGTGGCTAATATGATATCCACTGGTTCAGTGGATAACACTGTTCATCTATTATCTGTATCCATCTGTCATCTCTTCTTTCCTTGGAGGAAAAGGAGGAAATCCTTCAGGACCAAAGCGTAAGCCCATGGTCCAGTGGATCTGTCTTGTTTGGATGATACAGTAGTTTAGAAAGACATTTATGAAGTTTCCTCTATTGAAAAGTCAGGGGAGTTTGCAAAAGAATTTGGTTTTCTTTAAAAATCAGGCCCCTGGGGCCTGGGGCCTGGTGGAGAGTGTGGTCTGTCTCAGGATTGGGGGTCACTCACCGCAATCTTGGCTCTCACGGCAGCCAGCCTCTCCTGGGCAGCAGCGAGGTCCGAGGTGGCCTTGCTCAGTGCCTGGCGCTTGGGCTCCACGTCACAGAACACCTCGTAGAACCTCACAATGTTTATGACCCAAGAGCAGAGGCCTGCGGCTGCGGACGACTTGGTGGCCACGAACTCTGGATTGAACTCGGGGTCCTGCAGGTACGGCCTGATGGCCTTGAGGGAGTTCTCGTGAATGTTCTCCTTGTCAAAGTGGATGAGGGAGTCCAGGAAGCTGTCCACTTTGGCCATGGTGACCTTGGCGGCCTTCCAGCTGCGGTCCTTGGGCACCTTGCCCCCAGGGGCCACAAGCGCCATCACCGCCGCAGTGACATTGCTGACAGTCGGGGGTGGGGAACCAAAGGACTTCAGCTCCGTCAGGTTGGTCTGGAAGAGAGAGGCAGGTCGTTAGATGAAGAAGGATGGGCCCTCACTGTCCTCCGCCACCATGGCGCTGGGCTCTGGGTGATGGACCTGAGAGGGCCCTGGGAAGCCTGCAGCAGCCCTCGGAATTCTAAATCTCATGGCTCATGGAAAGGGAACCAAGGCGACTCCCAGTGGTTCCAGAGTCCCCTGAATGGTTAGCTGAGACTCAGCTGTGTGCTCTCCGCGCTTTGACTCGCAGCCCATCAGAAACACAGAATTATTTCATGTGCAGCTGAAAACCATAAGGATGCCAACATACCCTGAAATATACAGCATGCCATGAATAAAAGATAAGGTTATTATAAATTAATTTCCATCTTGGACTGAAGAGAATAGCACTGTAACCCAACTAATTTTTTTTCTTTAATTAAACTGCTTTGTTCCATGAGCTTGTTCTAACTACACTTGACTGTCCTGATAGCAAAGTTGCATTTCCTGCCAAGAAATAATTCAGACAGAAAGCTGGGCACTGCCTGTGCAGACACTGCCTCTGTCTAGACGTCAGTTTGTCCTTTGCTCCAAGTTTCACTTGTTCTGGAAAGATATGGCTGAAAGCGTTGACCTTGGCAAGTCCCTTCAAGTTTCCAGGCCTCAGTGTTTTCATCTGTAAGTTGGAAGCAATAAATCTGTAAGTGAAATTTTGTCAGAAATGCATATAACTTTGATTTAAGGTTTGTGGGGACTGTCAGTGAGAAATCGATGACCTCAAAAGCACTTAGTTTGAAGGCTTATTTTGTAAGTGGGGGGGAAGATCTTGATTTCAAAGATGAGATTCTTGTGCCAAATTAATTTGGGGGTGCATTTGGGCCTGGAAATCAACACGCAAGGGGGATTATTTCTAGCACCTAATGGAAGCACCTAGGAAGATTCTCCGTTTTTCCTTACAACTGTTTTCACTTTCGGTCATGACAACTTTGTCAGGCACAGGGCTGAAGGCAGCACCGGTGTGGGAGGTGTGCTTGCATACCTGTCGAAGCAGCCTCTCCCGTGCAGAAGAGGACACAGTGAAAAAATACGATCAGAAACCAAAACCCCACAACTTTAAAACAGTTTAAGTTAAGCATGTGCAATGTACTGAATTAAGAAAATATAAAATGTATAAAGATGAAATTGAATTCTATAACCCAGATACATCACTGTTAATATTTCAATGTAATTCCTCCCAGTTTTTTTACTATTCATATATACCTCTAAATTAATCACATCTCTTCTGGTTTTAGAGACAGAAAACCCAGCTGAAGGACAAAGGGGAATTTTCTCGCTCACATATCTGGGGAGGATGGGCTGGTTGCCATTTGTAAGGACCAGGGGAACTGCGTTTTGGATGTCAGCAGGAGACTCCAGACCTCCTCTTGTTTCTGCTTCTCCCTGTGCACGAGTTCCTTTTTTGCAAACCAGTTTCTTCGTGTTGCAAGCCACACAACTTACCCCTCTGACCTCAACCTGGGCCGCTTTCTCAGTCGCCCGCTAAGCTCTGCCACGGGCAACTCCTCCTAGCATACTAACTGCCAAGCTCATTCCCACCTCAGGACCTCTGCCTGGAACAATTCTTCTAAGATATTTGCGTGGCTGAGCCCTTCCCATCCGTCAAGATCTCCATTCAAGAGCCCCACCTCTCAGACAGACTCTCTGGCCAACCTCCCCTTCCTAGTCATTTCCTACACGGGCTCATTCCTGCTCATCCTCACAGAGCTCGGGGCAATCAGAAACGATGACCACTTTTTCCTCCTGGGATTACAATGTTCCTCTGGGACCAGGGACCTCACCTCTCTGGTTAACCACGGCAGTCCCAGTGCCTAGAACAGTAACTGGCACACACTAGGTGCTCATCAACAAGTGTGCTGAACGACTGAATGAGATGAACGGTGCCGGTAGCTCCAGGCTCACATCCATCACTTTGCAATCAGGAAGGAAGGAGATTTTTTTTTTCTCCACTGTAAGTCAAAGTAAAAAAGTCCTGGGAAAAGATCTTGTTCAGTTAGGTGAGGCTCCTGGAGCCCATCCCCATGGGGCAGGTGAGGTGGCACTGCCAACAGGCACACAGGATGGAACAGACATTCC